TGCGTCCAAGCTATTGGCTTCCGTCATTCTTCGTAGGTTGTTCAAAACCCGAGAAAGATTGACTCGCGAGGAGCAGGCTGGGTTTCGTTCTGGTCGAGGATGTATTGATCATATCTTCACCCTCCGCCAAATGTTAGAACACCGCCATACTTTTCAAAGGCCAACAATCGTAGTGTTTCTTGACATCAGGGCTGCCTTCGATTCGTTGGATAGGACTGTTCTCTGGGATTGTCTATTGAAGAAGGGTGTGCCTGAGAAGTTTATTAACATCCTAAAAGCCCTGTATAAAAACACCTCAGGCAGAGTGAGGGCATACAACCACCTCTCTCCATTGTTCCATTCGAGCAGTGGGGTTAGGCAGGGTTGCCCAATCTCACCATTCCTCTTCAACTTTGCGATCGATGACATTGTGGAAACAGCTCTGATGAATGTAAGTAATGGTGGTGTGGATCTGTTGTCTGGAGAAAGACTTCTCGACCTTGAGTATGCGGACGATATTGTCTTACTGTGCGATAATGCCCAAGGCATGCAATCCGCACTTAATCAGTTGGCAATCAATGTCCGTAGGTATGGTATGTGCTTTGCACCTTCGAAGTGCAAAGTACTTCTACAAGACTGGCAGGATCCCAATCCTGTACTCACCCTGGATGGTGAGCAGATAGACGTAGTTGAGAAGTTCGTGTATCTGGGTAGCTGCATAAGTGCTGGTGGGGGTGTGAGTGATGAGATCAATGCACGAATAGTGAAAGCCAGAGCGGCTTATGCCAATCTGGGCCACCTTTGGCGCCTTCGTGATGTCAGTCTGGCTGTAAAAGGCCGGATCTACAACGCGTCGGTGAGAGCAGTTTTGCTCTATGCTTGTGAAACCTGGCCTCTCCGAGTTGAGGACGTTAGACGACTCTCTGTGTTTGATCATCGCTGTCTCCGAAGGATTGCTGACATTCAGTGGCAACACCATGTTAGTAATGCAGAGGTTCGGCATCGTGTGTTCGGGCACAGAGATGATAACTCAATTGGTGTCACCATCTTGAAACACCGACTTCGGTGGCTTGGACATGTTCTCCGAATGTCGTCCCAGAGAATTCCACGTCGTGCATTATTTGCCGACTCTGGGACTGGTTGGAAGAAGCGGAGAGGTGGTCAGTGCATGACATGGTGTCGTGGCATGAAAGAAAGCTGCAAAGGACTGGCTTGTGTTGGTCCTTCACGACTCCCTGGCTGGGGTCCGAGAGATGGTGCAACACAGTGGCTAGAGACGTTATCAGATATGGCTCAGAATAGAAGCCAGTGGCGATCCTGCTGTAACCTTCTTTTACTTTCTTCATAAAAAGTGGTTGTGTCTCCTTTACCTGAAAGATTTCTTCTGATTGTACCTCTTCGTCATTACTCTCTTTTTCTTTTGCGTTCCTTAGTTTTTTTTTCTTTCTACTTCTCTTCGAATTCCCATTGTTTTGTGTGGCGCATATATATTGGCGCTCTCTTGTACCAATATTTATGTGTTCAAATAAATATAATAAATAATGTGTGTCCTATCCACTTCCAGCACTTCTTCCTCCTCTGGGATCTGGTTTGTTCTTTCCCACAGTAGGTTGCTGCTAATAGTGTCCGGCCAACGGATCCGAAATATTTTGCGTAGACAACTGCTAATAAACACCTGTATTTTCTGGATGATGGCTTTCATAGTCCTCCAAGTAGAACTGTCTTGACATTTGTAATGAAAGTCCTGACTTTGGTGTTAGTTGACAGTTGCTTTGAGTTCCAGATGTTCCTCAGTTGTAAATATGCTGCTCTTGCTTTGCCGATCTGCGCCTTCACATCTGCATCAGATCCACCCTGTTCATTAATGATGCTGCCCAAAATATGTGAAGGTTTTTACATCTTCCAAATCGTCTCCGTCAATTTTGATTGGATTGGTGCATGCTGTGTTGTATCGTAGAATCTTGCTTTTCCCTTTGTGTATATTGAGACCTACTGCTGCTGAAGCTGCTGCTACACTGATCGTCTTCTCCTGCACTTGTTGTTGCGTTTGGGATAGAAGGGTCAGATCATCTGCGAAGTCTAGATCGTCCAACTGCATCCTAGATGTCCACTGTATCTCGTGCTTCCCTTCAGATGTTGACGTCTTCATGATCCAGTCGATCACCACAAGAAAGAGAAAGGGTGGGAGTAAGCAACCTTGTCTGACACCGGTCTTCACTTCCAACAAGTCTGTCAACTATCCTCCATGCACGATTTTGCAGTGTAATCCATCATAGGAATTCTGTATGATATTGACTATCTTCTGAGGCACGCCGTAGTGTCGAAGAAGCTTCCATAGTGTTGTTCTGTCCCCGTTATCAAATGCTTTTTCGTAGTCAATGAAGTTGAGGTAGAGTGATGAATTCCATTCAATTGATTGTTCCACAATGATCCATACAGTTGCGATTTGGTCTGTACACAATCTATCCTTACGGAATCCTGCCTGTTGGTCACGAAGTTGGGCGTCTACGTAGTCCTTCATCTTGTTTGACAATACCCTGTCGAAGACTTTTCCCGGTATTGAGAGAACAGTGATGCCCCTGTAATTTTCACAGTTGCTGAGATCGCCTTTCTTTGGTATTTTGATCAGGAGTCCTTCTTTCCAGTTTGTCGGTACTTGTTCCTCATCCCAAATCTTATTGAAGAGAATGTGGAGTATCCTTGCAGTTGCCGCTACGTCTGCTTTCAGTGCCCGTGCTGGAATGTTGTCTGGTCCTGCTGCTTTGCCACTCTTGATTTGCCTGATGGCCATGCTTATCTCTTCAATTGTTGGTGGGCCAACATTGATTGGGAGGTCCGTGGGTGCTGCTTCGATGTTGGGTGGGTTCAGTGGGGCTAGTCTATTCAAGAGTTCTTTGAAGTGTTCTACCCACCTGCTTCGCTGTTCCTCACTGTTGGTGATTACCTCGCCTTCCTTCCTTTTCACTGGCCATTCTGATTTACGATGATTTCCAGAGAGTTTCTTTGTCGTGTCATACAATTGTCTCATGTTCCCTTCTCTTGCAGCCTATTCCGCCGTCATTGCTAGTTCTTCCACATATTTACGTTTGTCGGTTCTGATGCTCCTCTTCACTTGTTTGTTTACTTCCGTGTATTCAGCTTGTGCCTTGGCTTTCTCTGTTCTTGTTCGACTGGTATTGATTGCTGCCTTCTTGTTCCTTCTTTCTTGAATCTTATCCAGTGTATCAACAGTGATCCATTCCCTGTGATGGGGCTTATTGTGGCCCAGAACCTCATAACATGTTGAAATGATTGCCTCTTTGATCCCCTTCCAGCTGCTCTCCACAGTAGTTCCTTCTACATTGAGTAGATCATGAAAGGCCTGAGACTTATTGCTGAGGACTATCTTGAATTTGTTGAGTTTGTCTGTATTCTGAAGAAAGGCCGTTTTGAACATCTGTGATGTTGTCCGCCTTGCTATGCAGTGCTTCTTGAGTTTCAATTTCATCTTGGTGATCAGCAAGTGATGGTCTGATGCTATATCAGCTCCTCTCTTGGTTCTCACATCCTCCATCGTCCTCCTGAACTTTTTGATAATGCAGATATGGTCGATTTGGTTCTGTGTAGTGTGATCCGGTGAAGTCCATGTGGTTTTGTGTATGCGTTTATGTGGGAATATGGTGCCGCCTATGACCAGTTTGTTGAAGGCACATAGATTTGCAAATCTCTCACCATTTTCGTTTCTTTCTCCCAGTCCGTGTCATCCCATGATGCCTTCATATCCAGTATTGTCTGTTCCAACCTTATCATTGAAATCTCCCATCAGAATGGTCAGGTCCTTTGTTGGGCACTTCTCGACGATTGACTGCAGCCTATTGTAGAATTGATCTTTAGCTTCTTCATTGTAGCCGTTGGTAGGCGCATAGCATCGGATGATGTTCATTGAAGCGCCCTCTTTCTTTGTTTTGAAGGAGGCTTTGATGATCCTGTGTATATGAGATTCCCATCCTATAAGTGCATTTTGTGCTTGTTTGTACAGCATCAATGCAACTCCTTGTGTATGTGGGGCATTTTCTTCTTCATGGCCGGAGTATAACAGGAGCTCTCTTGTAGTTAGTCGTTGTTGTCCAAGATGTGTCCAATGTGTTTCACTGATCCCAAGTACATCTAGGTTGTATCTTCTCATTTCGGCAGCAATTTGGAAGGTTCTCCCGGTGTCCCACATTGTACGAACATTCCATGTACCTAAATAAATGGTCGCTCTGGTTGTCAGAAGGGGCATCGGCCTCATAACTTCTGAAGGAACTCGGCTTTCATCATGAGGCGTCATAGTTCTTCTAAATGAAGACCTTCTGATTCCCAGGGCAGAGTTTAAAAGGTTCGAATCATTTTTTCTGGTTAGCGTTTTATTTTGCGAGTTAGTTTTCTACGGGATGGGGACGCTAACCCCATGCCCAACCCTTCTCCTTTATCCGGGCTTGAGACCGGCAGAAGCCCCAGGAGGGACTCCAGGCGGAGCCATTATTTTATTACTTAGAAAAACACCATGGAACTATAAAAGTTGCCCAAGAGGAATGACCTAATCATTCGATTACTTAATTTTTTTGAAGTCAAACGAGAAATATCTATAGGTACCAGTTTTAGAAATTTTGTCTTGTATCAGAAGTGTGCTAAACTCATCAAACAATCGTGTTTTGTGCAATTTCTAGACATTTTGCTGTTATGTGATAAAAACCCATTCAATATCAATGGTATTGAGACTACTTTTGAATTAACCAAGCATAATTAAATCTAGGTCTTGTTACTCGTTTGTAAAATAATGGATTTTAACAAGATTACATTACCGTTTCTTTTTGTATATATTATTTCCCAGTTTGTTTAATGATAAATATTCCCTACTCTAATAATAGATATAGTTTTGGTTATATCTCAATGAGTAGAAAAATCATATTTCTGACGTCAGAAATATCACAAAAACTATATTTATTATTAACTTTCTACCTAATACTCAATGTATTTGAAACTAACATATCCCCTACCTCATTCAAATTTCATTGACACAACCGTGCTTATTGGATTAGGAGATTAGTGGAGGTTGTACAGTTCTATGATAGTTCACACCATGGATCTGTAATTCCTTCAGGATATGAGATTGGACTTCTTGGTGAACTCAGCAACGTAACGAACTTCTGGAGTTTTAATAAGAAAGTGTAACGTGCGGATTTAAAGAAAGTAAGGAAACATGACTACGGATGATAACGTATGTCACGATGTAATTCAAATTGACCGAAGTAGAAAAATATGAGCTGATAGATTTTGACTAATTGACTAAAATATATCATTCCTATTGCCACACTTAAAGTTATTGGCCTTGTGTATAAACACAGTTGGAGAGTTTCTAATCAACGCGAAATGGAAATCCAGCACTGTCGAAGATCGTAATGCTTATGTGACTACTACCAGACTGGGGAAAAACTAATAACGAAATAATATTTCTACTTATTTATTGAATAGATATTGAGATCATTATAAATGCCATCGCGTTATCCACTTAGCTACTGAGTCCTGTTAGCCACCTGCTTGTGCACTAGCAGCTGACGAGTCCCAAATGGGATGAAACGTGCGTCCTGGATTCTACTGCTAGCCACTATCCATTTTTGCTTATAATACTTGTGAATTAAGGCAATATCGAGGCACTACGCACAGTATGCACATATGCTAATAAGAGACTGATCAATTGCAGTCCTAAACATCAATGGGAAGATTCAAGTAAACAATACCAAGTGAGATATTCATATAAAAAATGCCAATGAAATTATATGAACCGTTCCTATCTTGGGAATGATGTTTCTGATCATAGTGTTTAAATCTGTTTGGTCCAACTTTTATCCAAGACAAGATTGGTATGAAAAAATGCAATAATATTGATATGTTACTTCAACTATATCCCAAACACTGGTTACTTTGTCCTATGTTTAATAAGTTAGACTTAATCCATTGGTCATTAATTTTTATAGACAGATAAATACGTACAGATATATACATACAGACAAGATCGTTTGGTAACAAAACGATAGGTGGAAGTGGACATAGTATACAGTGCGATATTATTCGTCTCTGTTTATTATTGCTGAGATGATCACAAATATACATACATGCATGTAAACACTAATGATGTACTTATAGCAGTCAATTATTTTAAGTGTTTGTTCATTTATATTCTAAGTAGTTAACTTTTTGTTTACATTTTGCACAAATAAAAGTTTGGCAGGGATGTGCTTCTAATAACCTGTCGTTTTTCGCGGAAGAGCAATACATATTCGCATTCGAAATGGGAAACATTTAAATTGTAGATTGTTTTATTCAGAAGCCTATCATTCTAACAAAGCAGACTTAAAAACTATTTTTCATGAAATCATGTGAACAAATGAATGCAAATACAGTGGAGAATTTTATACATTTTGAGACGCTAGTATAAAAGAATGGAAAACGAAAATCACCTCTATATGGGGAATCAATGAAAAAATTCAGATTACTAACCATATAACTATCTGCTTTCATACTGAGAACTTCTATTCTGGAATGTGCAATCAATGGAAATCACTTGGAATAATAATACTAACAGTAACACCGTTACAACTAATTCATCAGTACCAAACATTACTGAGACTGTTTTCACTAATAACAACACTGTTGGTCCTAATGACACTCCAAATGTCATTCCGAACAGTGATAGTAACATTTTAATGAATGATCGAGTCTCAGGAAATTATGTTAAGGTTACAGAAAATGGTGAGGGTGTTAATGGTTTGCGTAAACCACGTCGTAAAACATCACATGCTCATTTATTAAAGTCGAAAACATTCTACAAAACCGTAGACAGATTTCTAGGTCGAAATCTACCCTTGAAACAAGTAACAAATGCTTACAGAAGTCATTTAGCATCAAATAATCAACTTCCTAGTGTTGACCACATCTCAGTACGTAGCCGTGATTCAATAACAGACATCCTAGAAAAGTCTGTTTACATACCAGCATTTCTTAGAGCTCGCAAACATCATTGTCGTGTAGTACTGAATGTTGGTGGTGAACGACATGAAGTAATGTGGAAGACTCTAAGGCGTCTACCGTTATCTCGTCTTGGCCGGTTGAGTATATCAAATAATCCTGCAGAACTAGCTCAGTTGTTTGATAGTTATTCGAATGAGAAAAATGAATTATATTTTGATAGATATGCACGTTCATTTGGTTCAATCCTTGGTGTTTATCGTACAGGACATTTACATTTTTTGGAAGACATTTGTGTGGTGGCTTTTAAAAATGATTTATTCTACTGGGGTATAAATGAATACCAATTAGAAACGTGTTGTTATTATAAATATTATTTAAAAAAGGAACAGGTTCAAGAAGAATTAAAGAAAACTAGAGAAATAAATCTATCTCAGGCTCAAGAAGAACAATTTGGCACAGGAAGGTGGGCTACATTGCAAAAGTATGTATGGGACCTGGTTGAAAAACCTCAGACTTCAATGGCTGCTAGAGTAAGTTAGACATTGATCTTTTCAGTTGAACACTGATAGCAGATTGATTTATTCTGAAACAAGGCATTTTATTAATTAATATCGATTAATTCAACTGAATTCTTTAGTCCTTAAGTCAGTGATCACTTGGTATTACTGTACTTTGTGATCAACTGCAGCAATTTGAGTTTATTTTAGTGGCCCGCTAATCTAACTTCGATCTTAAAGAACGAATAAACATGCCATGAATAAAAATATTTCCCTATATTATACCTAAGCTAAAGCCGTTTGTGAGACAGCGATGTTAAGATGACAGATACAGAATGAATCGGATTAATTTATTGCACGCACTGGTTTATTTAGACATACAGACATTAAGAACAAGAAGTGGGAAAGTAAAACAAAGGTAGAAGAAAAGTGTGATAACTCCATTTGATAAAGCGTGACTCAATATTTATAGCCAGAAAAATTAGCTCCAGACATGTGATGAATAGGGTGAGCGATGCAAACATTCACTCATATAAAAGTATGATAAGTGAATAATTGACAAGGTGAAAATGGGACTCATGAAGAAGAAATGAACTGCTCTGTCCGTAAGCCAGATTAACCTATGTGGAATTGACATAGTACTAGACAAAACTATATTCAATACATATTTACTTGAGCCTGTTACCCCTCGTGGAGGAGCATAGACCCTCCCTTAACAGTCTCCATCGAACTCTGTCCTGAGCAATCCTTTCCAGTTGTTTCAAGCTGCTATTCACCCTTTTGATGTCTGCTTCCAATTCCCAACTCAATGTGTTCCTTAGTCTTCGCCTTTTCTGTTGTCCTTCAGGATCCCAAGTTAAGGCTTGCTTCGTAATACAGTTTGATGATTTCCGTAGCGTATGTCCTACTCACCTCCAACGTCTTTTTCTAATTTCTTCTTCAGCTGAAAGTTGGTTTGTTCTCTTCCATAGTTGCTTGTTGCTGTTGCTATCCGGTCAACGGACATTGAGTATCTTACGTAGATAATTGTTCATAAATACTTGTACTTTTTTATTATGGTTGTAGTAATTCTCCAAGTTTCAGCTCCGTACAGTAGAACTGTCTTGACGTTCGTATTAAAGATTCTGATTTTGATATTTGCTGACAGTTGTTCTGAGTTCCATATGTTCTTCAACTGTGGGAATGCTGCTCTTTCTTTGTCAATCCTTGTCTTTGAATTTGCATCAGATCCTCCTTGTTTATCGATGATGTTGTCTGGTCCTTCATCTTCCCCACTCTTGATCTGTCTGAGGGCTATGCTGGTTTCTACGATAGTTGTTGGAGTAACATCTATAGGAAGGTCTATGGGTGTTGCTTCGATGTCCGGTGGGTTCAGTGAACTGGTCTTTTCAAGATTTCTTCGAAGTGCTCCACTTATCAATTCCTTTGTTCTTGAATCTCAGTGATTGGTTTGTTTTTTGTCATTGACCAGTCTTTCTGGTTTACTTTCTCTGATTATACCTGTATGATTAGTAAAATGTCAGTTGGAAGGGAATACCTTTAGTTCGTGTCATTTTAAGGAGGCAGAAAGACAATTCTGTACGAAACATTACTCAAAATAAAAGTTTAAATGAAATTTTTATAAATATTTTTTTAGTTAATTTGTCCCAAGAACATAATTTAGATGAAGAAAACAATGAGAATCAAGAATCACTGATCAATTGTTTCTTCCTAGTTTGGTGAAGTTGTTTTCTACGCGACAGGGTTACTAACCCATTGCCAAAACCTTTCTCATTTCTCCAGGATTGGTTCCGCGAGTGAACATAGAAAGGCTAAAGTTGAAATTATTTTCATTCCCAGATGATATTTGATTAATGATCACATGACCTTTTCATATTCTGACTTGTTTTGGTAACTTTTTTCTGCTCAAGAAATAACATAGCCAGTTGTTAATTTATGCAAAAGATAATAGGTCCTGTATTACGAGCGTCTGATAATTGAATCACTTCAACCCTAGATACATCATTAAAAAGTGATTTCAGCATTTTTCGAAGCATTTTAATAATAAAAGAAGTCCGGTCATCCAATTTACGTGGTAAGGCCGAAACTCCTTGTATGTAACTCTAATGTTGAAATATCCCTATCTTTATCTTTCTATTGCTGTCAATAGCAAAAGATCTTCTAATAACACTTACCGATTCTAAGAACGAGTGACGTTTCGCCCAGTTGTATTCCTGAAGAGGAAAATGCGAGGCCATAATAAGATATAATTTTTCATGGTGTTCTTGCCATTACAATTTCATTATATATCAAAGAAGAAACTTTAAAGGTCGTTAAGCATTAAGTACTATATGGAATATGTTTACTCCAATACGGCCGAGCTGATTTTCTGAAAACGTTTCTAGTGATGGGACATTTTCGCTTCACCGGACTGACATTATTTCGTTATTCCGAGAGAGGGAATTTACTAGCTGGTAGTGGCTATCAGTTATGTTTTTCGGCTACACCGTAAGTCACATGATGTACATAGGCAAGTGATTGGTTTGTTCTTTGTCATTGACCAGTCATTTTGGTTTACTATCTTTCCCTGACAGCTTCGCTGTATTTTATGGTTGTTTCATTTTTCTTTTTGTTACAGCTTTTTCCTCTGTCGTTGTTAGGCATTCCACGTATTTCTGATTATCGACTCTCATGCTCCTCTTCACTTGCTTGTTTTCTCTTGTGTATTCAGCTTGTGCCTTGAGCTTCTTTGTTCTTGTTCGGCTGCTGTTGGTTGGTGTCTTCTTGTTCTTTCTGTCTTATATCTTGCGCAGGTTATCAACAGAGGTCTATTCTATACGATGTAGCTTGCTGTATCCCAGAACTTCTTGACATCCCGAAGTTATCGATCTTTTGATCCTTTTCCAGTTATTCTTCATAGTGGTTTCTTCAAGCAGATCTTTTAAGGCTTGGAACCTGTCGCTGAGAGAGTGACTTTCGTAACCAATGGTTGGAGACTCTTGGTGACATGGCTCAGAATCGATCACAATGGCGTCGGTGTATACACTCCCTGTCTTCCCTTAAACTAAGAGATTAAAATCACTTCATATCTTTCTTTCTACGAACCAATTCTTTTTTCTTTTTGTACTATATCTCTATATGCAATCTTTCTCTTATATATTACCACCTTTGACCTAACCACTGCTGTGAATCCGGTGTTCATCTTGTTGTGCTGATGCGGTATGGCAACCTGGACCGATGCACATATGTGCCTGGTCCTACGTTGTAGCTGACTGACTGAGAGATATCCTGAATTGATTAAGTTTGTCAATGTGTCGAAGGATGGCTGTATTAAACCTTTGTAATGCTGTTCGTCCATTTGTCTAGTGCTTCTTTAACTTCAGTTACATCTTGTCAACTACAAGCAGATGGTGATCTAAGGCTATGTGTTCTCATCTCCTGGTTTTCATGTCTTCCATTGACCTTCTGGATGCTTTAGTGATGCAAATGTGATCGATCTGATTCTCTGTGGTGTGATCCGGTGTGACCCATGTAGCTTTGTAAATGCGTTTGTGAGGGAACGTTGTGCTGGGAATATTGTGTTGAGATCAGTCAGTTAAAAATAACTAATAAGGTTATATCTTCGCAATAAGTGGTGTTATTAAAATAGGAGAGAGAGAGAGAGAGAGAGAAGAAAATCACGAAAATTCTGTAATAAAGTGACGATAAAATCACAATGGTAAGAATATATTTGCAATAGTGTACTTTTGCATACATTAGTCCGGCTTTAGTCGTTTAATGGCCGTGACTTTGGCAAATTTGCGAAGGATGGTATTTGACTGTCAGTTGATGGTATTGAAAAATTTTAGTCTATCAACCTGATGCCTCTTACCACAGCGGTGTTTGGTAATAGCACTGCTTAAAGGCTTAGGTCCCATTGACCTGAGACGTTTTGGTATATATTCTTGGAATCAGTCCTCAATTTCTCATCTTTTCCATTCTTAGGTAAAAATCTAAGCATTTTGATACATATTTTAATTTTTTTTATTTTTAGCTCATGATTTCGTTATATGACACGTTAATAGGAAGAAAAATTAATAGAAGCGATGACCATAAATCTTTAATATCATGAACTGTTAAAACATAATGCTATCTTTTGACGTTGTTAACAAAATTGTTAGAAAAATAATAACTATTGGATAATCTTTTGAATAATCCATTAGTTCAAAATAAATGTTAACTATAAATAACTTTTCATTCCAGATATTAAACTAATCTAATGAAACTATGGGTAAATCTTAGCCTTTGGAACTGTTAGTTCTTCCCTTTAGAGATTAATGTCCTGAGCAATTTTATGTGCATTGTCATACATTATTCTTTATTGAAGAATATTTTATCGCTTGTTAATCTATAGAATCATCAAAGACCATACCATACTACATTTCGCGTATAACCTTTCTTCAGACGCCTAATTCAAGCTAACTCAGCGAGTTATCTCACCAAAAACCTTTGGGTCTATAATTGATCGGTCATTGAGTAGTGATCAATGTCATGTTTGTTTAGTTCTTTTAGTGCTGATTGCATTCTTTCTGTCAAGTTATCAAGCGGCTATAGTTTAAATGACTCGAAATGACGCGCGGCATGTCAAGGCAGTCAACAAGAAATCCTGGATCTGGGTTTTATGCTATTGGACACTCATCAGCAAAGTGCACCTGGTCGCTGGAATGTGATCAGCGCTAAAGGACTAGATAAATATAACATTAGTCACTAATCAGGGGTCAATAAATTGTAAATATCTGTCCTACAGGATAGCTCATTGGTAATGCCTCTGACTAAGAATCTAGGTGACATGGAATGAAATCTGCCAGGGATCACTAGTCTCCTCAAAGTTAGAGGTACACGTTCCTAATGAGTGCCAAATAGCAAGGAGTCAAGACTGAGGGTTTCCTGCCAACTAGTTTCAACCTCCTGATATCCTGAACTTTAAGTCTATTGGTTGGCAAATAATTCAGGATCACTAGGGCCTCAGTTATTACTTTACGTTTCTAGTTTTAGTAAGTTAGTAATATTTATTA